GCCAATCAGCGACGGCCTAACGCATAGATGACAATTTCGGTTTCAAATACCCCGGCTTAGTGTTTTAGGTTCTTCGCGTAATTAGGTGTTCGTATGCAAGGGATTTTTCCACACAAAAACGACGAATTCGGCCGAATTTTGTTATCGGTTGGCTTAATATAACCCCAACGGACCGTATTTTTGTGAAAGATTGGTATTTTTGTCCTGATTTGTAAGAATCTGAAAAACGCGTTTCATAACTTGTCTCTTATTTAGTTTTATGCGTCATTCAAGATGGCGGCCCCCATATAGTAAATATCGCATCTATTTTATTATCACGTGTGTGCCAGCTGACTGTGGGTAGCAGGGCTCATACCACTAATTGAATTTCCATAGACGACAATGTTAACATATGACGAGATTGCTATATGAAAATGACGAAGAAAGTTGAAAATATGGCTCAAAAATGGGAAATCAACATGCCAGTAATCAACCATATGAAAAAAACTAACATGTTGGCCAGCTCAAACTCTTGCAAATCTCAGGTAAACAAGACACACCTACTGTATTTGGATTGCACCAAGAGAAATCACTGGAAAAACACCAAGATTAGAACATCCATTAACACACAGAATAAACCCACAGGTACACAGCCGCTAAGTAGTAAACAAAAGACCACATGTTGGTCTCACCTCTGACCCAGGTGATTACGCCCTCAAACAGGGAGCACCTGAGAAAAATAATATTTAAAAAATTTCATTGGTTCTTGCTGGGCATTTAAATTGAGACCTAGCAGGTACATATAAACGTAGAACCGGAAGCGGCACTTGAATTGGAACTCGGTAAGCATCATGAAGCTGCAAAACAAACAACGCGTATTAAATTATTAACGCATTATCAAAATACATTCCTTGGAAAATAAGTTTTGCGTTTGGTGTTTTTTTATACTTTAATAAAATGGATTATTTTTGTACTTGGAATGGTTATTTCTTGTACTTAGATTGTGTCAGTGTTTGTGTGCATTTACCAGACGTTCGGAGCAATATACTTTTTATCAATGCTTATATATTGTGACGTCATAGCTAACATTAGCATACGATAATATTAAAGGGTGGCAGTCGTCGTGCCGCGTCCTGTTCGATATGGGACTCATAGCGACATATACAACGCGTGTCATTTTAGTAAAATACACTGTTTGTTTACATGAAATTCGAACACGCGCTGCGCGACGACCACCGCCGCGCTTTAACCTCTATTCGCGAGTAAATTCATTTCAGCAAAAATCCCCCAAATTTAACTAAACTTGTTCATTTCTGACGGTGGTAATTTATAACAACAATAATGAATCCCATAGCGTCATATTGGATTTTTAGAAAGGTCTAGACACGTCTTGCCATACACTCTTCTTTTCATTAAAGCGGGGAGTCGTCACCTGCGCATGCGTCAGATGGCCATAGCGTGGCATTGTTTACAAACAAGCGTCTACCAACGAGCCTTTGCGTTTTAGCGTGTGTTGTTATCGTCGCTTGGAACTCAACTCTCCCGCTTTAAAGTAAATAAATGTTCGACTCTACTTAATAGGACGAATATCCACAAACGTCATAATACTGACACGCCTACCTATCAACTCGTGATACGAGTACATTGACTTTTTTGGATGATATACGAGTTATTATTATTTAAAGCGCGGTGGTCATCGCGCAGCGCGTGCTCGAATTTCATGTAAATAAACAATGTATTTTACACGCGTTGTATATGAGTCCCATATCGAACAGGGCGCGACACGACGACTGTCGCCCATTAAATTTCTTCAAACTTACCCACACACCTGAGATAGGGGACATTTCTTCGTTCATTGTTTACTACTTGTTCCTAACAGTACCCAGTACTAGAAAATAATTGTTTTTTTGTTTTTTTTGTCATAGAGATCATGTTCTCACATCATCCAGGTACAATTTGCCTCTCACGATTTAAAAATAGGGAGATTTTGTTGAAGCATATGGTTCGGACCAATGATTTAAAGGTCGATGAATGGTCATTGAATGAGCTAAGTAGGTGACTTGAATGAAACGCGCGGTAGTATGACACGTACTTGAATCGGGTACGAGTTCTACAAAAGATTGTTTTATTGTCTTATTATCCATGCAAAACGAGTTACGTAACACACGTACGTTGTGACAACACACAACTAGGGAAATCTCACAGTATTAATATTACTTCATCGAAGTACGGCAACTCGAACGCTGACGGCAATTAACGGTCTGTTTGAGGTTGGGGTTTTGGTAAAATATCCTTGTTACTACGAGGTTTACTATAACCTCGAACCCAAATAGGCCGTTAACTACCGTAGTTATTTTCGCTTGCACGTTTTTTATTATTGTTATAACAATCCGCTAACTTACAGATGGGTTTCCTTAGCATTTTTTTCTGGGGAAAGTCCTCTTTCTGTGTTTTAAAGAGTACCCACTGGGCCAGTGCCGGATCTAGAGAGGGTTCTTTGGGTCCGACCCCCCGTTGAAAAATGTATTCAATTTGTTTTTGGATAGTATAAACAAATCATTAACTATGTCTGACGATTTTAAAGTTTGGACCCCTCCCCCATAAAAAAATCCTGCATCCGTCCCTGGTATCCTTTACTAATTTCTTTGTTCTCAACATTTACTAGGAAAGTAATTTTTCCTTGTTCCAAGGAGTATTCATAGTATAATAGTCTGGCACAGTCTGCTAGTGGGCGATTTATTTCTTTTCAAGGTTTAAATTAAATAAAAAAAATATCGCGAAATGGAGGTGTTAACGTGAGTTTTTTTTATTATTATTATTATAATTTATAATAAGTGAAAAAAATGCTCAGAAATATTCATTCACTAGGAATTCATATTTAGAACCCGCGAAAAGGCTAAAAAAATGCACATAAGACTCGCCAAATTCGCAGTATTACTCTTAAAGTACGGCAACTCGGATGCTAACGGCGTTTACCATCGTAACCGTCTTCGCGGCAGTTCTTTAACTACCAGTAAGAATGCGCCCTCATGGTTCCGAAACACGCCTCTTGGATGACATACTTTGAACCAATCACCTTCTCGCCCTCTCTGATCACCAGCATGTTTCGTTTCAATAATAATGAAGGTGATAATGCACAAAGACAAATGAAAATAATTGATTGTTTTAATTTCACGCTATAGAGATATCGTGTGCTGATGGAAACCTTCAACGATAACTCCAAAATGGTTTCGTCCAGCCAGTGAGAGTGACGTCACAATCACGGCATGTAGTACACCTACACCATTAACTTAACTACACTTCATATATCCCTGCCCACGCACCTGGCAGCAAAAATAGTTCCTTGATGAAGCAATGTCATCAGGTTTCCTGATATCATCATACCGCCCACATGCAATTAACCGTTTCGTATCTGGTATTTTATTTGTGTTTTCAACCCCCGTAACAAATGAAGTCATATAATTAAAGAGTAATGTTCAAAAGTGAAATCAATATTTACTTAATATTTTGGGCTATGAGGTCACGTACCACATTATTACACTGACTAAATGTCAAAACTTTAGTTTATTTTTCGTCCATTTAGGCGTTGTGTTTATTGCGTAAACTAAGGCGTAACTAAGCACGGACGCAGACCAAGTGATCATCGCGTAACACTTCTATTATAGTGTCGTTCATCACAGTCCCTCAACTGTGGGACTGTGCGTTCATGCCGATCTCTTTAAAGCGGGAGAGTCCCAAACGACGATAACAACACACGCTAAAAACGCAAAGACTCAAAGACGCTTGTTTGTAAACAATGACAAGCTATGGCCACCCGACGCATGCGCATGTGACTACTCCCCCGCTTTAACCTAGTATCTGCCCAATTTTCGGAAGCATGGCCAAATTAGTTACACTAGTGAACCAATTATTTTTTTTATTTGCACACGGTCTCATGACAATTTCAGCAAGAAAATATTTGGGTTATTTATAAAATTCCCAAAGAAATAAACAATCTTTAAGGCTGGCTCATTCTTAGAAAAAAAAAATAGCCTGAGGGAGGGGCGATGACGAAATAGCAAAAAAATGCACAGAAAAATCATGCAGGGATCTATAATAGAAATAAAATATACACACCGAAATCTTAATGAAGAAATATTTCACACAGTGGACGGAAAAAAACATAACAGCAAATTCATCATGAAAAGGAAATCAGCGCAAAACTAAGTGAAGAAAAAAAGCATCGCCCCAGCGATACTAACGGCAAATCTTTACCAAGATGGTACCGTGATGTCAGTCAGTGACGTCACAGTCTCGATACACACGGCATGTAGTTGTTTATACCACACACCTACAACATTTACTAAACTTCACTTATCCATGCCCACGCACCTGATAGCAAAAATAGTTCCTAAACGCAACAAATAATGTCATTAAATTTCCGCCTGGCATCATCTTACCGCCTACATAGAATTAACCGTCCTGTAGTTGGCAAATCATTTGTGTATTAAGCCCTCGTGACAAATGAAGTCATGTTAACTTGGGCGTAATGTTTCACAATGAAATGAGAATGTAGTTAATCGCATAGCTTTGGAGACATGTTCGCCAGTATTAGATCGGAATGTAAGAAAGTGAAGGCGATCACGTGCTGTATTCATGATATGATATACGCATGGATACATTATTATAAGTGAGTGATGCGATAGAATGTGATTTAAAGCACGATTCGATTGCATGCTATCACGTGTACCCCTGGATATCATGTTAGAAAATGGTGCCACTACTCCGCATAGCTGGCCAGAACAATGAAACTCAGTGACGCTATCGGAAATACTTGGAATAAATTGAGAAAGTAATATTTCGCTTTTATTTTTTATAATAACTGATCCTTTTTTTCGCGTGTAATAGGTTTTGGCGAATAACACCAGACTGTAAGTCTGACCATGAACACAATTTAGATAATACAATATTTGGTATACTAGTATACTAACGTTATGTCTGAATTATATACACGGAGAGAGTAATGACGAAACCGATCATTCCCCATGTAGTGTTGGTACATGATGATATTTGACATCGGCATGTCTTTACTTGCATTTCTGTCGAATCCGTGAGTAGGCAACTATAATCGGAACAAGTTGCATCGGCTTGTTGACCTCATAATAAGACAAACCGATTACGGGATCACTGGAGGTCCGAGTCGATGGATTGTATTTGTTTTGATTTGTTTGTTGTAGTATGACCGCAAAACCGTCCAATGTGAGAATAATCGACAACTCTCCTGACGCAGAAAAACAATGTTGTTTCATTATATGTATCTGAACTGAAAACACAGTTCTACGAAATAATAATCAATGAATACTTTCATTCAAAACTCGCTATACCGTTTTTTTTTTCAAAAGAAAGACCGCAAACGACACGATCTGCCAAAATGGTTTCGTCGATCGTGGTCAATTTCAAGTTCGAACGTACAGGCTTCACACCACAATTAGAATTTGTGACGATGTGTTTTTATAACAGTGAGGGGAATTTTAGCGACAACCAACGTTTTTTTAATAACGGACGTATACGTTTATGGGGGGGGGGGTGGCTTAATTTCAACTTCTGCGATGATTTTTTTTTTAAATATGTATATGTATCATTTGCATCATTGGTTTTACCACAGTCCCCCTATCATAGAGGGACTGTGGTTTTACGTGCAAAATAAATCAGCCTCTGAAGTGTTCACATAGTCGTCTAAATAATGAAAACTTCGTTGATGGCACGTGAATAAATAATTAGTTAGTTATTAAAGTAAATATGGGACATAATAACTAAATACATAGTAAAATGAAATAAAACAAACTAAAGTCTTATATTAATCAGTTTGGTCGTCTAACCGACTACCGCCTCGGAACATCCCGATCCCCGACGTCTTGGATCATTCCATCAACTTGAAATCCTCTGAGTACTCCTCCGCTCTGTACGATAGCCTGGAGTGACGGCTCAATTATATCGGTTTCACTAAAGGGGTGTTTTATCTGAGCTCGATATATTCTTTGAAGGTTTCAAGAACACTGTTCCATTACTTAAGTGATCAAGAAGTAGAATTCCCATGCATTTATCCTCTTGCCTCAATCGACCTTGGACTCTTAGACCACTATTTATAAAGATTTATAAAGATTCGTTGTTTACGCGTCAGTGGTGCTACTGAACCGATAGTGACAGAATAGGCTATTACGGGGGCGGTTCGTTTCTGTTCATATTATTAATTTAGAATGTGCGTAAAATGGACTTACTACGAACATAACAGTCGCAATTGTAGTTTTAGGTGATAAAACAGGCTAAGGTGGGCAGTTGCTTCAAGGTCACCATGGTGATACTCGCTTGTCAACGATAATACTTTCATTCTATATTAAAAAACATAGTTCCCAGTGCATTGTTCCATTGTTTCGAGTTTCAACAATTGAAATCCAACGACACAATTCTAATTAATTAAACCATGTTTTTTATTTTCTCCACATTGAACTTTTTTGTGTTGAATGTCGACTTCATTTTCAGTGCACGTGCAGATCCGGTGGCTCAAAAACGGACCATATTTGGTTACACGCTTCAAGTGCCATGCAAAATGGATAAATAGGCTCAATAAAATATATTGAAGTGATGCGCTCCATTAGACTACGTCGATGCCGCCATTTGGAACAGCTTAAAGGGCGGCAGTCGTCGTGCCGCGTCCTGTTCGATATGGGACTCAAAGCGACGTATACAACGCGTGTGAAATACATTATTTATTTACATGAAATTCGAACTCGCGCTGCGCGACGACCACCGCGCTTTATACTTCGTTGCCTCTGTCAGGGTCAGGGCGTCAGCCCGTAGCCGACAAAGCAAAGTAGCTATAATAAGATTAAAATATTATTATCATCATAATAGGTGTGACAGACTGGCACCGTCACCGCTGTGCAGGAACGCAAAACGCGATTTATATACGAGTGCAGTGAAGTGCAATTGAATATTAACGATCTATTAATTGACGTAATGGCGCCCCCAGACGTGCCCCAGTTGTGGAGGTTTGAGCTGAAAGTGTCATGTTCGTCATAGTTCTATTATTATGAGTTCATGCCATAAGAATATTAAAAAATTAAATACATGAGGTCACTGTACAATTTGTCGATATATCAGTTTCGGAATGTCATAGAAAAAGGTCATAATGGTCATTTTTACATTGATATCATCATAATTTTTGTTCTGTAAAGATGACTTATAATTTGGCCAGTTTCCGTCATTTTCCTTAGGTACTGCTCATTTCTTTCTAGAGTAATGGTGTTTTTGCATATACAAAAGAAGGCCATGTCTTTTTACTTCAAATTAGTAACCCCCTCCCGGCCGTGAGAAAAGGACTAGTCCCTCATAAACAATGGGTATAGCTTTACAAACATTACACCAGAGTGTTGTGTCTTGTTGGAAATGTGATCTCAATTGCACAATATAACAACATTCGTGACCCCGATCAATTTTCAGACCCATGCTGAGTTGAATCATTTTAGATTAAAACGAAGTTAATTTACAATTACGTTGTAACGTTGGAGTCCAATCATGTAATATACCCACATCGCCGCCGTCCTCGCTGTAATAAAGCCACTAAGTTAACCCTCTATATTTTCCCCTGATATAACACCAGTTTATTGGCGAATAAACGTTCGACTTATAGAACGCTTGAACTTGAAATGTGCAGTCGCTTTGTACATAAATGAGTAAATCTGATCCGGTGACGGCGCGCGTCAGTTCCGAACATCAAACGAGCCCGCAACGTTGCTGATGTAACCAAACAACAAATCACTTTACTACAGCTTGAACAATGATGAACGTACGCTGTACGGAAAATGACGAAGCATTGAAATGTAAATCCGACTTCTTTGACTTCATATGACCTCACATGACAGCGAGAACAGTACGTATTCTAATCTGGGCCCTTAGCTCAACGTTTCCCATAATCCCACTGGCCTGCAGTGATACTTATGGCGTGGTATTTTTTTCTTCGGTAGTTTTGACGAGCTGATCATAGTTTGATAACAAATATTTGTAATTCCTGAAATAAATCAGATGAATAATAAGAAATAAAAAATATATATCTAAAATTTCTGCCATTTCTCCGTATTTACACGTTGGTTTTGATAAAACACGATGGCGTAAAATGCATAACCGTCCTTACTTTCTATTTATTTTAAAGTGAAAAAACAACATATGTTGAAACCCGATTTGTGGAAAAACAAATTACTTTGTTTTTAGTTTCGACGAATAGAGCATCAAACATTAATGACTTCGATTTAGGAACGGACCATATACGTTCGCTTCGTTCCGTATACATTATTTTTGTTCTGCCACAATACGCTCATGTTCGGTGTTACTTTCTTATCTTCGCGGGGCGAGATGAACTCGAAGAATTGTTGTGTTAAAAGATCGTGTTAAGCAACTATATGAATTGTATTTTTTTAATTATCATTGCCTTATCTTCCCAGCACCGACCCCATAATGAATATTAGGTTGATCGGACCCTTGTTTAGTGCGTCATAATTTAGGTGTAGCGCCGCCGTGACCAATTCACTCATACCCATTCAACCTCTCCACCGTGTAGCTTTATCACTGGGGCACACAGCCAACGAGCTGAGACAATTGCATATAAAAAACGCAGTTATAGGCAGGGCTCATTAATTCGTTGATACCGGTGGTTAGAAACGCGATACTCGTTTATTGGTAACTTCCTTTCGACGTACGGTAGACTGCGTGACAAGTAAAGCGGCGAAACACGCGTACTAATATTAGAACAAAGTGTTTCCGAAGTTATTTCTTCGCATCGGTAAGTAATCTCGTTCCAACGTTCTTGCTCGATTTGATGACTGGTTGGTTTGCAGTCAGGATAATGATCGCGTAGCTGCCGATTTAAAGTAAACCACGTAAGTTTCCCTGGTTATACATGTGTAACAAAACAAGACCAACAGTACCAATCACCTTTGGCAGACCTATTTGTCCACCATTTCCTGTCCATTTCAAACTACGTATTGTTCCTATATGCGTACGCGAAGCACTTGTGAATTCATTGCATGGCGTGAGGGTGAGGTATTCTTGATAAACAACATTGAAGACATCGTCAGGGCGCTTTAAATTGCTACACGTACAGACAAATTAAATATGTATATTCGAAATTTTGATTGAACTGTCATCATCAGTAATTAGGATACACATAGTAGTTGTTTGATGCTTGTTTAAGGGATTTTCTAATGGTTTTTCGGCAGTGTTTCATTCTGCTTGCTAAAATTCGGCCTCCGCGTTGAAGTCCCCGAGTAGCGAATATCCGTCTTCAATTGCCCACTTATATTGGCTCTTCATCGTCAACAAATTCATCTACTTTACGCCACCCATCTAAACAATTCACAATGTACCTTCACCGACAACGTTCAGCGAACGTATTTTGTTCAAACTAAACAGTAGTGTACAATTTAATTCAATGATTAAATTTTCTCGTAGAATACCGCTTCAGGGGGCGCTTGACTCGGCACGTTCGTTGTCCGCATTCAAGAGTGGTATGCTCATTCCATAACCCCCTTTTGACTATTGTTAGTTGGCGATACTTGTGGCTTTATTAAGCTAAGACGGCAGAACAAGGGATAGTCTCCGGTAGCTTGTTTGTTTTCGAGTCTGCCAGCAGCGAAGGTGAATCGATTCCTGCTGGGTGTCAGCGCACCCATTCTGAGATGAAAACGACATCCCGCGTTCTTTCAAATTAATTACACTGCCTATCGTTATTTAAATGGTTTGTGTGAACTCGAAGATGTCGTGAACGTATCAAACGCGCTTGGATTGGGGCAAAGAATTTTATTTAAAGTATTTTGCGTCGAGTGCGCGTTTGAACACATCACATCCGGACACAGAACATCCAGTCTGTGACATGTTTGTCTTATTTTATTCGTTGAAGTAAAGACTATGTTTGAAGTCAAGAGGCTGGTTATGTCTCGTTGAAGAGGCTATTTATAGCATTTCCGTTTTGATGCGAGGTTGTTGTAGAGCAGGGACACGCAGAGGAGTGATTTCTTGTATTAAAGCAGGTCTTCAAGCTCCCATTTAATAATAAACTCATTTTCCTGCTAATATGAAATAAATTGCGCGAGCTAGCTGATTATGCTATGGGATAGATTTTGACGTCATCTTCAGTTAAGACGTCACATAAAACACGTGAGCACCGACAAAATGCTTCACTTTCAACGTCTGCGTGTCAGGAATATTTTGTTTTCAAAATGACGACGAAGTGAGGAGATGTGTTTGATGTGTTACTGTAGTGGATATTTCTCACTGATGCCTCTACCGAAAAAAAATAGGACGTGAATTCGAGTGGGACGTCCTCTAGTGGCAAAGCGTTCTATGACGTAACAGCGTCGATATCGTTTCGATTTGTAGTCGTCTGTCAATGGAGACTGTCCTATTGGGATATTCTAATATATCCTAAATTACAAGAGACTATACAGCCAATCAAAATTTTCGATTTGAACGACATGGCTTTTATTGTGACGTCACAGAATCACTCCACCACAAGAGGGCTCGACTTGTAATCCTCGCGCGAAAAAGTAAGGTTTATTAATCCAGACGCGCAGCATTTTGGTGCCACATCTCCAATAACCTCACCCCCGTCAGGTGGCATTGCCAGGATTGATTGACAATCACCTTGACTACAAATTAAAGTCAAGAGACCCACATCAAAAGTACAACTGCTACAGTACCGCGGTCCGAATTGCTCTCACGTTTGTTACATTTCGTTAAATGTTAATATGCCAAATTGAGACAAATAACGATACAGACGTATTATTACATAAATGATTAGGGGTTTTCATCAGAATTTTTGCTGAAAATCAAACTTAAAAGCAAAAGGTTTTCCGAGGTCTGTACCTTTTGCAATCCGGGCAGAGTTTCTAGTATGATTGTGACTACGTACTGCGGCACGTAGATACCACATTTATAAGAGGGACTGCATACCTACGGTATTTGTTTCACAGACGCACCTAGATGTCGACATTTTAGTACAATGCACAGTACATACCGAAGCGTATGCCATCTTAAACAGTTTATTTATTTTGTTTTTTTACGAGTCAGTTAAATGTTACTGTTTTCTTTTCTAATCTAAAAAAATATCAAACGGAAGTGATTGACTGTTTTCACGTTAACATTTGTTACATGGTGTGGCTGTGCCATGCATATCATTCCGATACTTCCGGTGTGAAATATACATACTTGTCATGGAAGTGAGTAGCACGTATACCGGCGATTGACACCAATACGAGTGAGTGAAATGGGCACCTACCGGCGGTAAGTGAATCTCACATAACCGCGGAAATAAAAGTTGATTTCTTACGAACATATTCTTCAAACCGATGAAAAAACATAAGCAGCGTTACACTTATAATCCCCGGAGCCTGAGGCTGTGTCGTTTTATTGCAACTGTTTGGCGTCACCGCGCGCTTATTATTATATCGGACATAAAAATCAGATTAAAGTACAGTTACCTTTTCAAGCACATTCCGATTTAAGCAGCTGAATTAGAGTAAATGCTAAGTTATTTAAGATTGTGTGCGATTGGCTGCTCAACACGAACACCTGGCAGTCAGGCCAATTAGAGAGCGGCTTATTTGTTGACGTTTTGTTTTTTTCGACGTATCTGGAGAATTATGACACTCGGCATTCTCGTAGCATCGGAATGTCCATATGACGTCACTGTCTCGATGTGTGTAGGTATGGGTTCACCGATTTGCCAGACTGTGATCTTTCGCAAAGGTCACCAAGGTGCATAAATTAATGACGACCTTTATTTGACACACCTTCGTACGTCATGATGGTTGCTATTATTCGACGTGTACTCCAAATGAAAGTTTGTACATGCTTGAAAATATTACACAAACTCATTAAGAATATATTTTTAGGCTTCTGTTCAATTTATTTGTTAAATCGATTCATACTATTCAACCCAAAACGTGCTTTGTTGATTCGAATATTACAATAAACTAAAACAAATGATATGACTGGCACATTTTAACCGATGCGCGCGATAACGAGGAACGCGTGACTTAAAGCGGGAGGGTCGTCTCCTGCGCACCGTGACGCGCAGGAAGTCCCAAGTCCCAAGCAATGATAACAACACACGCTAAAAACACAAAGGCTCATGGGTAAACGCATGCACTGGCGACGACTCCCCGCTTTAATTTATTACCCATTCATGTGTTTTAAGATTATTAGTGAAACGTCTTGCATAAATAGAACAATGAGGCTATATTTGCGATCTGATGCAAAACGAATAACCTACTCGCGCCACTATGTTACAAGTCATATGACAGTGCGGTATGGGATTTGAAATTCCTACAATTAATTTTCACTGAATTCAATAGTGATCGTCACGCACCAAAGCTAAATATTTTATTTAAAGCGAGAGAGTCGTCACCTGCGCACGCGCGGGAATTGAGTCCCAAGCGACGATCACAACACACGCTCAAAACGCAAAGGCTCATGGGTAGGCGCTTGTTTGTAAACAATGGCACGCTATGGTAATCTGTCCCGCATTAACAATTTATGTATTTATTTATCTTTTTTTACAAAAAAATACTGCGTTTTATTGCTGTTAGTTCGCAGTCCATATTCACGGAGAATAAGACCACGCATCATGGTTGACGTCCACGTCTTTTGCGTCCAGGCTTCTCATCCTCCAATCATTTGATATACCATTCTTCGCAAGCGTGACTTTTATTGGCCGGGGGAATGAAATAGAATAGAGAGTATATGCCTGCTGTAGTCTCTATTCAACACTAGCACTAGGTGTCTCTAAGTCGTATGTCACCAAATGGCTAGGCTTGTGGCGGTATTAGATCGGTGTCTTCGGAGATGTTATAGCACGATTGACAGTATTAAATCCACCTTTTCAAGGATAAACTTAACGATGCGCAATCTTACATGAATAGGCACTTTACAGAAATGAATTCGCAGTATGACAAGTATACGGGTTTTACTACAAAGAATCGTTAAATTTATAAGTTTCTAGCAATTTCTGCTGTCAGCGTATTGAAAGTGTTGGCACAGTAATTAGTGCAGCCATTCATTCTACACACTAATTAGTGGAGACCGTTATACGCGAAACAATTACATCCACTGTTTAATAGTGAAAGTCAAACGTGATTAGTGGATCAATTCGACAAAACAAAGAATTGGTAAATTGTTTTTTTGTTTTTTTTATTGGAGGGGTAAACAGACAAAGTGGAACGATTCTCGGGTGGTGACATAATGAAAATCTATTTACATGCCGGGCGTAAAGAATGAGACTGGACAATCTTACATGATATAGTTCATTTCTTGTCACGTGACAAGACATAACGTAGTTCTGGTTGATCGTCGATCCAGGGTTCCGCTGTTAACGGGTGTGATTATGTCACATAGGCAAGAAATAAACATATTTTTGCTTATCGCTGCATGTCGAAATCTGTCAGACGAAATTATGTAATTACTTACTGCCATAATGGCGAAAGCCGGGGCGATGGCGGGTTTGAATTTCAACTACGAAATGTTCGTATTCCTATAGCCGGTACTAATCCCTCAATCGACGAACTTTTCAACGCTAATAAATCAGCACGCATACATCTAAATGTATAGCCATGATGTAATATCAGGTACTCGAGGATACAACAACATAAAAATATTTTTCTTGGACGAGGACATTGATCATACTGTTAGTGTACCTTCCGCTGGAGGGCTATTTGTGTAGTAACGAGACGCCTAGTTAGGGGAGTGAGTCCGAGTGGCTTTACGTGTCAGTGAAAAAACAAAACAGCGCTGAGTCTGTTGTAGAGTGAATAGAAACGACCACAGTAACAAGTACGTATGCGAAGCCGTGATAGTTTAGCTTGGAGAAACTACGGCACAGACAAGAGGGAAAGTGAGTTTTATTCTCGAGTCAACAGGTATTCGGATCACAGGTAATCATATATTGGTTTATAGTTATGTCATCTGTGTGTTGAAAGAACAAAGTTATTCGCATTCTGAGCACGTACATTGGGCGACACCGTGAGCACAGTGCTGCTCCGTACGTACCATTTCTTGCAACTTGAAAGTTTGCAAAATTCCACAGGCTATTCTGATTCTCAAACGTCATTGTAAATAGTGACCGTAATCAGTCAGTATATTATCTAACTTAAACGACGCATAATGTAATGTAATACAATGTAATGTAATGTGATGTGATATAATATGGTGTGATATTACATAATGTCATTCTATCGTGGTGTAATGTAACGTAATATAATGTAATTAACTGCAGTATATTGCGATGTGACGCAGCTTTGTGCAATATAAAGTGATTTTTTGTAACGTAACGTATTATGAGGCACTGTGGTATAATGTAATGCACTAGAACGTGGTGTAACGTATTATAACAGTGTAACGTTACGGTAGTGTATTATGACACGAAACGTACTCCATATTTACACATTGACTATTTTCATTATCCTACAACATTGCAAAGACACATAACTGGTATAGTGTTTCACTTATAGTGACATCATTCAAACTAATATACTATTTTCCGTTCACTGCGCCAACAAGTGGGATTCGACAAATGCGAAATTATTCTGGGGATATTTCCACGATTAATAATGTGCCATACATATTAATGATGGTCACTTTCGATGAAATAAGCGTATTTCAAAGCAATATTCCCCTCTCAAATATCGGTATTTCGGCATTGAGTATGAGAAAAAAAAATTCAAGTTCAGAGTTAAATTTTGCGACAGGCGCTCGGTCCGCACCTTTCACTCATTACGCGAGATCTCGCGATGAACATATTGGGAATTGTCACCAGAATACTCTTATTCAGTGACATTCCATGAAGTATCGATTGAAGCTTGCCACTAGGTCAATGACCTTTCAACATCGGGCAAATATATGTTTCGGATGGACGACATCACGTTTCGTTGTATCCTTATATGACAATCTCAATTGAAAATATATGCTAAAAAGATGAGGTCACTTGTTTTTTAAAATAATGTTTTGTGGACGGGGTTGGTGTGGGCAAACATTTGGATGCATGGTCCAATTAACCCAACATGTTCTGGGACACGATATCACTACTGAAGTTAAATTCAAAAACATTCAAGTGAGCAATTTCAGTTCACGTCATGTGGGCTTCATCAAAGAGCGCGACTTTCACGACCAGCGCCCACTTGTTATTTAATGTTCAAAACACTTGCGATAAAATCACTCCCGTACTTCCCGTGTTAATTTGTTTTTAAGACTTTTCATTATTCGTTTTCGTGCAATACGACCCATGTGTTTATTGTTATGTTTTCGTACTGTTGCGAGCTCTTTAATGACAGGGAGTCTTGTTTAACGGACATAAACTTTACGGGCCATGGCCGTGCAGTTACTACACCAACAAAGATCCCGGTGGAAACTCGTTTTTTTTCGGCTAATCTGTAGTGTACCGGGACAACAACGTAAATGTTTTTATTTAGTTATTTCTTGCCGTTGTTATAACGGTGTAATATTTTATGTCGTCAACGTTCAGTGGTTATCACTGCTTGTTCAAACTTACCGATAGCTATTTATACGAGTACAATCATATGAGATAGCGACTTCGTCTTATTAGGAAATGCACCTTCGTATATAGGCCGGTGCATAATGACGTCATTTCCGTCACACTAAAATTAGAACTTGTATCAAGGCGCGGTACTTTCTGAAATAGGTGGCATACTTTTATTTTCAAACTATTTCATTGCACGAGATACCAAAATGGCGATTTTTTTAGCGAAAAACCAACTTGTTTTGAAATGACAAATGATACATTCAATTCAAAGTGAGTTGCCACCTGGTTCTATTTCTTGCGAGTAACATTGTGATTGTGTCTGTCTCATTTTCGAACCTTCGTCGACTGATAACAATTTTGGAAATTTTCGGTAGTAAAATCATTTTTGGTAGAAGGTTTTATTGTGTAAAATGTCCCTGCTTTTTGAAGTATATTGGAAGTTAAATTAGTAATTATATGAGATCTAAACTTGCCCTTTGTAGTTTGTAGATTGTCGTCTATGGGGTATTTGTCGTTAGAGTTGAAAACAACTGCGTCCATCATGTTACAAAATATAGATTTGTACTATTAGTAAATTACTAAATAGTAAATTAGTAAATAAATAATTATAAAATAGCTTCTTTTAACATATATTTGCCAATCGTTTTCCCAAGTAACTCCAAAATAGCTAGACAATTTGGGGAATAAATCCTTAGTAGAATCTACCTAGAATCTGCAAATGATTTTTAGAAACCAGGAGGTCACCATCTTTAAAAAAAACTAAGCCACGCGCTGCATTAGTTGTAATTCGGGCATTGAGCGTGGAGAAGTAAACTAATGTGTGTGATAACATCAACGAATCCAATATTTCCCGATCGATCTCACCAACTGTGGCCGTAGAAGATGGAGCGCGCAGGTCTTCTTTCAGACTAGCACAGTCGGACCATTTTTGTTTTATCTAATATTACATGCTTTTGACAACACACAAAAGTCTCGACCGTTCGACAGTCTAGCTTTTGACGTTAAATACCAACCCTCGTCCCAACCGTAAAACTAATGTGTATGTTTTTTTTTATCTAGTGGTACACTATGATGTCTGGTTCATGTCTGGTTATCGGTATATTGTTCCTATTGGTAGCAACGTGTTTGTCTCAGTATTGCAGTGAGCGTAGTACAGAATGCTGTCCGGGTAGGGATGACGAATGTAGCATAGAATACCGAGGCACTAAGTGTTACTGCGATACGTTCTGCAACCATACAGCAATTGACTGCTGCCCAGATTTCTGGAATCTTTGTCTAGGCGTGGAACCTCCGAGCTTCGGTAAGTGAGTGACCCCGTCATATAAAGACGTGATTAAAGATTATTGTTATTGTTTTATACTCTTTTAAAAAAAAAAAAATTAGGATACATTTGCTAACAGGTTTCCCGGCATTCGTAGGTATTTCACGTCATTACATGTGTCACGTGATTGAATATGTTTATTATTGTTTTACACTTTTCAATTAAAAAGTCAAAATTCGAATACATTTACTGACATGTTTCCCGGCATTCATTGATATTTCACGACATTACATGTGTCACGTGATTGAATATGTTTGTTATTGTTTTACACGTTTCAATTAAAAAGTCAAAATTCGAATACATTTACTGACATGTTTACCGGCATTCGTTGATATTTCACGTCATTACATGTGTCACGTGATTGGATGTCAAAATAAATCAGCCAACACATATAGCACTGGGCAAAAAAAAAATAATAAATAAAAATAGGATTTCCTTCACATCTTAAATGGGCTATGATCTCAGTATGTTCATTGCTGCCTAGGTTTTACAAATTACTAATTTTAGCGTTAATTATGTATATACTCGATCGCGGATCTGTCGTGTGAATTTGGGGGTTGACAGTAGATCCTTCCGTTTGTATTTTGAGTTGGACGTGGATCGCTCCGTATATATCGGGAATGGACGCTGATTCTTCCTTCTGTATTCGGGAGTGGACGCGAATCCTTCCGTCTGCATTCGAGGTTGTCATAGCATTGCTTTCTGTTAACGCCCAGGGGTTATCAGTGTGGCGATCGAACGGTCATGGGAGAGCTAGCACGTGACAATATCGTACAATATGGCTGTCATAGACTTCCCAAATGATGATGGAAAGCGTTTATAGAGAACTTTAGGGACGGACCAACCACATGGTATATATTCAGTCGCCTTTTAACATTTCTCGCCCTCTGAAGTAGGCGTTCTTTTCAGTGTGATCACTTGATGATTTCGAAAACTAGGTCAGGTTTCTGAAGGTCATTTAGGCCTTCCCACGTCCTACGCCAGCCCCTGCCAGAAACCATCAGAAGCTGACAGATATAACCAAAAAATTGTAATACGCAAAATTATTCCCATAAATAACAACACTCAACCACTCGGCGTACTGAGTATGACTATCGTTTGCCGGTAGTCAACTTCTAGAAAAGAAGGGTAAACAAATAACATAAGTAGCGTTCACGCACAGATAGCACGGCGTCAGTGGTCAGATACCTTAGCTCGTGCTAAGGAAACGTGAACGCTTACCACGGGCTAAGAAACCCTAAATATGGAATTAAACCTGACCCGTTTTAAGACCCGGTTCAGATCCTTAGCACGGGGTAACGAAGTGTGCTTGAACGCTTAGCTCATTGTATTCAATATTCGTTTGGAAAATTTACAATTATATTCATTTCGGTATGCCATTTCCGACATGGTAATCAATCTAGAGATATTGTTCTCAAGAAAAATGAACTGACGATGAGTCTTACTACTGGTAACCTTAGAACTAACATATATACCTTCCTAGTTACTTTACTGAGTAATGATAGTTAAAATGATCGAAGATATTTGTATATTCTTGACAAGTTTGTGCGTTTGTTTGTGCGTTAGCCCATGCTAACCATTGTTTCCCGCTGTGCGTGAACGCCATTTGATCCATCCGATATGCAATCAGAGGGATTAGCTTAAATCATGATCTTAGCCCGCACTTCGTGTAGTGTTTACCAATCACTGGTGATGGTGGTGTAGTCATTGTCGTTGTTGTCACGATTATTAATCTACAAATCCTAATCCATGATGCGTTGTAACCATTACAATGATCGATTAACGTCGGAAAAGTGCATTTTATACACTTTTCCTAAAAATCGCGCCCTCTGGCGACGAATTGCTTCTATGACGTGATGGGTGAAAAGAAGGTCGTTAAAACCGTCGATATCGTATCGTTTTGATATGTAGATATTTTTAAGAATTGTTTTTATATTCCTAATTACGAATGACTTACACCAACAAAACACAATTGTGAATCTGAACGACAGTGCTTACGTCATTTTACGTAGAGGGCGCGGTCTATTATGCCAGTATTATGAAATAAGACAAGATTCACAATAGTATATGTGATCTTCGTTTTCACTCGAAGTTTGTACATGAAATGGGTCGAAGTTACAAAAGTGAATATCCGAAATTATCGTCTGGCACAATCATATCTTTAAAAAAATAACCATAGTTTGGCAAACACGAAGAATGAAATATCGTATATTTCTCAAGAACAATATCGTCCATATTTTTTAAAACTAACTTTGAATTTTTGGGACTTGAGACATGGGCCCTAGCTACAGGTGGTTCTGTACCACAAGGAACGATGTCTTCTTTTATCGGTATTATTAATGGTGATATACGAGACGAACTGCGGGGCAAGGTAAGGTCAGCAATTAGGGATGTTTTTTTCTCGTAGCACGATCACGAAGATCGATCAGATGTTTGATCTTACCGCCCGTGTCGTCAATAACGGGTCTAATTATTTAGACTGCAGTCGAAGTTAGCATCTGTTGAAGTTTCTCTGGTCAAGTACGAGAATTTATCTCACAATCCCAAGTTGGTTACAAGTAGAAATCGCGTGACTTGATGACAAAGAAACTTAGAGAGGAAGAGATTAGGGGGGCATTAAAGGGGGAGGGCACATGTAATCAACTTCGAATGCAATTGTTATGTCACCAGTCACATACCTTGCACCGATTTCACATTTCGAGGATCAGCCAGTTCAGGCGTCAGCAACATTAATCATGTGGTCGAGGGGCTGTTAATGAATACGCACACACAAGTGTGTGACATAAGTGCCAAGTCGTAAAACGGCGTGCTTTGATAACAATATTGCCAATAGGTCGGTCGTAAAAACACACACACAAAAAAAAAACGGCGTACTTTGGCGAGAATATTGCCAATTTTAAGTAGTTTCGATGGATGTGTATGTGACAATTTGCCTCTTGAAACTACTGGTGATAAGCGAACAAATGACATTGAATGGGGATATTTACTATATAAGCTATGGTCCTCTGCTGTTGCGGCGCTAGTTACGTCCGATTTCTGCATTTGTACATACCACACAACAAAGACGTAGACACCAAATCGCAATGTGAATAGCTGCCGTTGTTTATGCGACAATGCCGACATCAAACCACGCCAGTGATGACCTGGATAAGTGTCAGGTGCGACTGAGTAGGTCGCACACAAACGAAGGTGGCATAAATACGCAGTCTATGCTAATACAAAGACGACTTTCATGGGATATGTCGTTATTTTGATTGCAAAGTTGCACTGGAATTCATACCTCAAACTACACCCTATCCAATGCACTCTACCCATGTCAGTCCGCCAGTGACTTCAATAATTCCGTTAAAGGAACCCTGACAGTGAGCGTTAAAGTCATAATGATAATCATAATATGCGCTGCCGTTATCTGTACTCAAAGAACCCACTAAATTACATGAATGTTTCATTAGAAGATGAACATGACCACAGCTCATGATCGAGCAAACAGAACAAGATAGAATTTCGTATACAGCTAACTAAGTATTTTTCACGCGTTGTTATAGATCGCGTATCGTTACGAACAGACTGTAATTTATTACTGTGACGTCATCGACTCCGAAGCCTGCGTTTTTAGATGTTTTAACCCATAAAATCAGACCCATTTCAGACTCATCTAACACAGTAAATTTTTGTTTTAAAGCGATCGTCTCCATCAGTAACTTTGCAGCCGAGTACTGCTTGGTGATTTCTCAAAAGATGATTGCCGGCGACGTATACGTCATTCCAACCAATCGCGCCCTCTCGTGCGGCTTCTAGGAAAGGCGTGTTAGATTTCTCCATTGTGAACATATCACCACCAGTGTGTTTCAGAACCTCCCAATTTGCTGATTGATTGTACATCACAGAAGTATATAATTTCAATATCACCGAACGCAAATGAAACCGAACACGCGAACCTTGAGATACATCATAAATACGATTCCGGCGTTGGTTTTAGTTATTATGAAAACAAACAAACAGGGAATTTGAAAACAGCATCGTCAAATTGAATGAGTGACCATGTGATATCGGATTGATAAAACTGGCGGTCATTTTCATGTGTCATCTTCCAATTAATGGTAGTATGCAATCAATGAGTCCGGTGTGGTAGTAGTCCCCGGCCTCACACGGGTCACTTCGTTGATGACTTTGTTACCTTATCCAGAGGGCGTCATTCTACAATAGTTAACCTTGACTATTATTGATTTCAGATGAATGTTATCACAATGGAGTTGGTTACCGAGCTGGTGCTGCGATTTACATAAACTGCAACAAATGGTAAATTTATTTATTTAGTCAATTTAATCACTTGTTCCTGTATTTAGTTAGTATAATAATTATTTCCTTAATCATTTTTTATTATTTTTATTCATCAAATGTTGTTTTATTGATTCTAATTACAGTACATGTCAGAGAGGTGTAAACGGAGATTCAGCATTCAATTGTGAAAATAAAGCGTGCACGGTTCGACCGTCTCTCATTCAAGCAATCAACCATGGGGGTTTTGGGTAAGAGCGCCCTCTATTATTAAAGCTTTATTTTTAATTTTATTTTTATTAAACTGCAGTCAGCAGGCAACAAAAAAATCATTTTCACAAAAATTACATATAGAATACAATTACAATTTAACCTGAAAAAGATTTAAAGTAGGGGAGTCGTCACCTGCGCATGCTTCAGATGGTCATAGCGTGTCACTGTTTACAAACAAGCGTCTACCCATGAGTTTTTGCGTTTTTAGCGTGTGTTGTTATCGTCGCTTGGGACTCAATTCCCGCGCGTGCGCAGGTGACTACCCTCCCGCTTTAAATACAACACTAAGAAAGCATAGATATCACTATGGAGAATATGTAGCTAAACAACTCTAAAAAACTTTAAAACGACCTAAAAAATATCAATTATTACCGCTGTTGAACGATTCTTTAAAAAAAGACAGAGCACGTGGAATGAAAGGTGAAATTCTTACATTGAGACGACATTTCATTTTGTGAAAAAAAGCAAATGTTGTCTTGTAGAAGGAGACATGAATATTTTTATTTTATACCGTAGATGGCGGGCTGCGAATTATACGACCTTCTGGGGAATGAAATTGACGGACGCGGTGAAACACAAGTTAGGTACATTGAAAGTCGAGAGAGATGTTCACACGATGACGGAGATCGACATAAAGATGAAAAAGAAAATTCCTAAAAGTTTTGATGCCAGGGATAAATGGGGTAGCATGATAACTGGTATCCTGGACCAAGGCAATTGTGCAAGTTCCTGGGCTTTTTCTACAGTCGGTTAGTTTTTGTTTTTAGTTTTTTTATGGCTTTTATTTATCTCACACAGCATCTCAACATTTGTTGTTATTTCTACGAATGCAATATCCCTATCCGTGTTTCTAATAAGCGCGCCCGGACGACAGGCTGCTGCTTACATTGACATTAGTGTTTCCAAGCGTTGGTATTCGACTTAAAAAATAGAGGCAAAATTGTATTGATTTTTTGTTTTGTTTCAAAAGTGTTATATTATTGATTTGGAACTCGGTCGCTGTTTACAAACAAGCGTCTACCCACGTGTCTTTGCGTTTTAGTAAGCGTTGTTAACATATACTAGTACCTCGTATTTCCCTACTATAACAGCCGACCTATGCATGAAGAAAAAACTGAACGAACGAATAAAAGAATGAATGAATAACCGTACGATATTTCGTTTTATACAGGGGTGGCTTCTGATCGTCTCGCTATTCAATCCAGCGGTGAAACTGGGATGACGCTGTCACCGCAACATTTACTGTCATGCAACACTAGAGGGCAGCGTGGTTGCAGTGGAGGACACATAGATAGGGCCTGGTGGTTTATGAGAAAACGAGGGTAAGTTTTATTATTATTATTCTGCTGTTTACACGGTCAGATCAAACTGATCAGATTAACCCGACGCCAAAGTTTAAGTATGTCTGATTTTTTAAAAAATCTGGTCGTATTTTGTGGTTTACACGAATCGATTTATCTGAGCGCATTAATCTGATAAGATAAATGGCGTAACCCGGTTATTTTCACACATGCGCAGTTTTAGACTCGCAGCTTAGACTCGTTGCTTGTACCATGGTTCTTTGCGCAACATCCACATGTATGTGACGTTAGGCGACAAGGGCGTAGTCTAGCCATGTATAAAACAAGTACAATTGTTCTATATTTCATAATGATGCGTTTCACGAAAGAGCGTCTTTGTATTCTATGTTTTCATACACAGAGTGGTTTCGAATGACTGTTACCCGTACACCAGTGGTGACCAGGATAAGAAGGGTGTGTGTATGATGCCCGGAAAACTGCCATCCGACTGTCCGACAGGAAGGGAACGTAATAACGAATTGCATCACAGTACACCGCCTTATAGGATTGCAGCCAACGTAAGTAACGATAATGTATACATGTACGTTTCTGTGGCATGTGATATGTCACGTGGTCAGAGTACGTCATCAAACCCACCATGTTGTTCATTAACGTCTTTCACATACGTGCATGTCACGCCATGACTTGACTGGTAAATTCTTAATCTTTAAAAGTCGCTCACCACCCCGCTAAAAACTACTCCGATCGAGCCTTCACAATGAAAGGTTGACGTAGAATCTTACAAACATGTTAGCGAAATTCACGAAAAACTTGGAACCCAAGACGATTTAATAAAGACACTTGCAATGAATACTACATTTTGCTATGCATTGATAGTATGGCTGCATACAGAGAGGCTATTGTTAGTCAGGGACACCAGACTACTGCCTCGCTTGCAATGCTATATCCGCTAACGTCCGAAATCGGATCAATATCTTTGTTAAATATCCCATGATGTTGCAGACCCATGACGCTGTGTCCTTCTGATTTCAGGAGAGAGAGATTCAAGTGGAAATCATGGAGAACGGCCCCGTGCAAGGTGAGTTAACGAGTATTTACGTTGCGACTGTAAATGTGCAACTGTCAACCAATCTCTAGTAAAGAAACAACATATAACAGTCCCATGATTGACGCCCTCTACAGACCAAGCGCTTCTATGACGTAGATGGTAGTGAGGGCGCCGTCCACATCATCGTTATTGTTTTGATCTGTGCTAGCCCGTCAATAATTCAACAATACGAACGTCTGTATATTATGTTTTTGAAAAAAAGCTTATCATCAAATCCTAATGTCTATCCTGATTGGGAAATGCTGAAAACGTGTTATCACGTGACAAATCATCTATATTTGATTACTAGTACTCTGGACTTTATCGCATCAAGACTATTGGCGACTATGTCAATTACAATGTTGTTTCATTGTTACATTTAAGCATCATTCGAAGTGAAGGAAGACTTCTTTATGTACGGTAGTGGCGTCTACCGACATACCCCTATTGCGAGTAACGATGCTGAGCAGTACCATGCCAGTGAATGGCATTCTGTGAAGTTACTGGGATGGGGAGTTGAAAACGGCATCAAATATTGGGTAAGAATCAGACAATTGTTTGGAACTGTTACAAAATGCTTTATATTTTGTTGTGAATAGAAATCAGTATTACCACGCAAACTTACGCTAACACTGGCTTCTCCTTCCATGCCTGCTAAATAATATTGTCGGAAACACCTTTGTCTTATTTGTCCTCAAAAATACTACTCCTAGCAGAGACATCCGCTAAACATCATACTTCCCGCAGTCACCCTAACATGATACGACCCCGCAAAAGACATTTTCCGATGATTAAAGCGTGGTAGTCGACGCGCAGAGCGTGTACGAATTTCATGTAAAAAAAACAAACAATGCATTCTACACGTGTTGTGTACGTCGCTATGAGTTCCATACTTATTAGGTGATTTTCCGTTCAACTGCGAGATCTCGCGAGATGCATGAAAGACGCGCGTCGAACGTCTGCCGCAAAAATCGAACGATTTGATTTTGAACTCGAATTTCTTTATTTCGTATCTCACATCGACCGGCCGATCTTCGACAGAGAGGAATATTGCTTTCGAATACCCCGACTTATTCGAAATTGTCTATCATTAAATGTGTACAGCACATTATTAAGCATGGAAATGCCCCTCAAAATATTTTCGCGTTTGTCGAATCCCACGCGATGTTTGACGCCACTACGACGCTCATTATCCTTCCCAGAGTTCCTTGCGGTTAGATCACCGAAAGTATCTCTGCCACCACATACCACCATTTTGTGGTGAAAATCCACAAGACTTTTACTACGCGTATCATTTGCGTATTTTTGTTATTAGAGGGATCTTGTGTTGATTTTTTCCTACTGATAAACAAGTTTTAAAATATTTCATTGATAGCTGATAATGATTTTTTTGTAAACGCACTTAAAACGGTGAAATACAGTGGCCCCTCGCTATGTCGCGCCTCGGTAAGTCGCGATTCGGCTAAGTCGCGGGTACTTGGATGGCTCCCAAAATTTCTATTGTGTTTTGACAGCAATTTTGAAGTACAAAGACTAATGTTTCGTGGCATAGTGTTTTTAACTAACCGTTAAAGAGACAACTTAACACCCACTGTCCGTCAATTGCTGAGACGCAATGGGTGACGGCGGCCTTACTCAAGGTGTCAACAGGGGTGTCGAGTAGTGACCGTACGTACTTCTTGGCCGGTCCCGGTCCCTCTACAAAAACTCGCTACAATGAGTTGAATTCATAGAATTCTGATCTCTATTTCTCAATTGAGCAGCATGTCAAAGCAAAAGCTATACAGCCTGTTCGTACGCCATAAACTCACGGCGATCGACCGTGTCAAACCAAGTTAAGTTGCACGTGGTTGAGCCCACTATTCGTGGGTGGGTAAAAAATGAAAAGTAAATTTGTTTTCAAAGTTGACCAAGAGGCGGGACTGAACAGAAAAACAAGCGAAAGTGTCCGACAATGATGACACCGATAAAGCTGTTTACGTTTCTTTAAGAACGGTCTGCCGGAACTCCACTATCTGGTCCCATCACCCAATGCAAAGCATACAACTCAGATATGACGACTTTGAATTTAAGGCCAGTTCAGGGTGGTTCTTGCGATGGCAAAGAAGACACGCTATCGACACACGCAGTCTCAATCCAAGGCGAAGCTCGATCTGGGAACATTGACGCTGTCGGAACTTTTCCCGAAAAATTGAGAGAAATTATCTATGAAGGTGGTTATTTTGACGAACATGTTTATAATTGCGATGAAACTGGTTTATTTTGGAAGCTGTTACCGTCGAAGTCACAAGCAACAGCAAGCGGTCCACATAATATTAGACAAAATAATCAACGCAATGTTTACAGCAAACATAATCATGATTTTATTCGAATACTGCCTGACACATGTGATGATACATCAATTAACTAAACCGAGGGTTTGTATGTGCTTTTTATATGTTTTTCAATGCACGACCTCCCTCTTTCACGACGTCCCTCGGTAAGTCGCGGCCCTCGATAAGTCGCGGTTTTTGCTTGGATCCCAACACCCGCGACTTAGCGAGGGGCCACTGTAGTTATAAATTAAAAAAAAAAAAAAATTCTATTGCGTAATAACCGTTACCAAGGTGTTACTCGGTTCATAAAACTTCTTCAACTGTCGACTGCCAGGCGAAGAATTACAAGCTAACTTAAGAACTTCGTAGTATTGACGACTAAATCTTCCTACTGCCACACCGTTTGTGTTACAGAAAGAAAAAAAGAAGCTTCTAACTTTGAAAACAGCCAAAATCTGCAAACAACGCGTACACATTTGTCGGGTTCGAAATTCGAACACTTTCATGACAATGTTTTGGTGAAAGAAGTACCACTGTGACGCATCGACCAATCAACGACGAGCATAAGATCGCGTGGTGGCAGAGATATATTCGTGGAATAGAACTCTGCCTGGGAGATTGTACGACGCCATGACCTTTGTTTGTTCTGTTTTTACGTTCCATTTCACACATAACGCGTGATTCTCGCAGTGAGCGAAAAATGGTCTAATGACAGCGCGGTCTGGTCGGATTCTCAGTGCGTGGTAGGGATCAGCACCTGTATTCTTTTTGGCGTATGCACGCATGAAACGTGTTACACGATTCAAACAGAGACCATTCAATACATATTCGTATTGTAGTCACATAATGTAAAAACAACCATACTGTAATCGTCTCTGTTCTGGTATTCTTTAATCTGGATTTGTTCATGTTATGCCTTCCAGCAGTATACGTACACACACATATCACCACATTTAAAGTTTTTCTTTTTTTTCTTTTCCCCCTCAGCTAGGTGCAAATTCATGGGGAACTAAGTGGGGAGAAGATGGCTACTTCAAGATCCTTCGCGGCGAAAATGAATGCAACATAGAATCGTACGTTGTAGCAGTCTGGGGCAAAGTGGACACGAGTAACAAGCCCAACCACAGGGTGACTAAACGAACAGCGAACACGAGAAAAAGGCGTTCTGAACTCAATCTATTTCAATGGCTGTTTTCCTAATTCAGTTAGAGGGCGCTTAACTGCGTCAGGTAAACCGTCGACTACTTTTCAACAGTAAACGCATTCTAATTATTTTGTTTGGTCACAATACTCCTCAATAAGCGTTGGCAATCTTGTTTAGTTTTGGAGTTACCGAAAAAAATACCCTGGTTAGTGTGTCCGTAACATCAAGCTCAATTATAACAATAAATTGTGGAGACATTTATAGTAAACACATTTCACAGAATTATTGTTATTCTTCATGTATATACATATTTTTTTCAATTGGGATTCCTGTAATTTTTACTTGAAAACGAACACCCCCCCATTATTATATTTTAGGGATTATTTTATGGGTGCTGATGCATTCAATATAATAACACCTAACGTTAACTTAAAGTTTCAGATATGATCACAATAGCACTTATTTTTCAACAATTTGTTACTAGATTAGACTATTTGGTGATATTATGAGTATTTGAGACTAGTCCCAATTACGTGGGAGCCATTTTTATTTTGACGCTACAAGGCTATTTCCTATTTCGGGGGGAAATCAAAGTTTCCATCGTATACACATTTTTTAAATCGCGCCCTCTAGCGACAGCGATGCTGTGACGTCAAATGTTAATGGCTACTGCAGATCAAAAAGATGCCGACGCTTTGATTGGCCTTTGCGTCATTCATTTACGTCCTACAAGATCTTCGTCGATAGAAGGCGCGATTTATTTGAATGGTTTAATTGTAGTCATCGACTGAACTTGATGAACAACTACATCAAAACATGTCATGTTTTTCAGATTCGATTATAACCTTATCCACGACTTTTAATTAAGACAACTATTTCTCAATGTATACATTTTACTTTTGTCTGTTTTCATATTTCTTTTTACATTTTTAAATAATATAAAATTCAATTTACATCCGATTCTTTGCATCATCGTCACCAACAAAAACAAAAGCAGCAACAACAAACGCATAATATAATTGCATCGAAGAATTACTACTTCAATGCCGGCAATGTCCATATCGGAACACAGTATATATGTAAACACTTTGCATTCAATCGCTATCTAAATCACATACTTTGTAAAAATAAAATTGTTCAAATACATATTATGTGTGGTAGTGTCGTGAATTGCTAAGCAACAAAGTGGTTCCCTACACAACACAGCCAACCACAACATTAAGCTGTGTGGCGAGATCGTTTTCTCTTAGTTGCTCAGTACTGAAAGAACATTGGCGAAAGCATGGCCACGTTCAATCTACTAATCCGCAGTAATTAAAAGTCAAAAACAAACTGCCAGGCACAGCTAGCGCATTGCGAACAGTCTAGAAGCTGAGTATTTCCCGAGGTCTCGGATACCTCGACAATAACTCTAGATGGCGCGGTTTCAGTACACGAGGCAAAACATGAAGCAACGCAACAAGCAACACATGAGATGCATCGCTTATATAATATAATTGTGTCGCCAAGATGATCTTTATGTTAATTAATTAATTAATTTTATGTTAAAATTAGCCAACTAAGAATGTCTTGAAAAAACTTGATATACACATACACGTAGATTAGTCAACGCAGAATTCGATACATCGAAAAAACAAACAAAAGCTCCTCTCTGATTGGGCTTGTCTGATAGGTGTTCGGATCGGGTAGCCAATCAGAGACAATCTTGTAAAAAGCTTTGTATTGACTCAACACGTTTAAAAGGAAATGGCGAGAAATTGAAAAAGCATAACTCGTTTTTCGGACTGTGTCCAAAATTAGGTGCTCCCGTCAAGTAAACAAATGAACACTGCAAATTTAAAACGTAATCATTGCTTATCGCGTATGCAAATTTATAATCGGTTTGGAGGCCGACTTCATGACAAAGGCAATTTATGAGGCAAGGCGCCGGGTGACGCGTGCCATACAGTCACGTCGCCAAGGTGGATCAGCAAAACCATCGACAACACACCAGGAAAGGAAACTAGTTCATTCATTGCCACCAAGCTGCAGTCTGCGTTGCTCGGTGCGTTGACTTAAGAATTTAATGGTATACAACATTCCAGTTTTAAACAGCGCCTGTAGAGGGAGTTCAATTTTCCAAAATTGTTACGGTGTAGAACTTGTTTAGTAGTTCTTCTCCGGGTGAGGACATCTGCGTGACCAGCACAAAAACAAAATCATTCATATACAGGTCATTGAATTTATATTGACCATATTCCCCGCCATCGGACTCTTTCACGATTGTCAAATATCTGAAAAATAACAAATTTGCACACAATTATAATAATGGCATTTGAGAATGTTATATTCGTACAATATCATAGCATCTGGATTGTTTAATCAAGACTTAGACGCGACTTACTTAATTGGTACCGTACACTATATATATATCGACGTGTGGAAAGTAACACAGTCGTCAGACCGCGCCGCGTTCAACATTGGCCCTTGTGACGTATACAACACGTGTGAATTCGAACGTGCACTCTATTCGAAAAACTGATCAGATAAGAACATTTTTATTACAAAATTAGAATTTTTTGACAAGAAAATGACTTACTTTTCATCTTTCAATAGATCTTTTGACAGGAGGCAATCAAGAAGTCCTTTCTGAATCTCATCCATTTGTGTCTTTATATTACCGTACATATCCGATTCAATCATGTCGATCGTAAATGTTTTTCCGTGTCTGAAACGTCAACATTAACAAGTCAAGCAACGACGCACTATGCACAGATAAGATTGCGTATTTTGAATAACACTTGTAAAACTCGATAGTTGAACTCAATTTCAGTTTTGCAACGTAGCGTATTCTCAACCACATGACAGCTTTTTGTCGTTGGAAGGATGGTTTAGTGAAAATAAAATTCAGCGAATAAACTTTTTTTTATTATATTTCTTATATATACAAAACACCCAAAAAGCATTTTCAATGTAAATTAATTCCAGCTAAAATATGTAAGTATAATGTTTTCTATGGTAATCTTCGTGTTAGCTTTAAATTATATAGGACTATAACGTTCAAATTTATGTCACATGTTATATAAGTGTGGAATAATATGCATGCTGTACGCGTTGGCTTTTCCTGTTCGGCTGGTTTGAAAAACAATACTGTGTCGGGAAGGTCACTTGTAAGTTACACAAGGTTAGGGGTGGACAATTAAAAAGTATGGGGGGGGGGACGATGACGAAGAAGCTGTGCATTTTTTTTTATTAACTTACTTTCGTGCTATTTTTTCATTCCAGGATGATTTTTTCCTGCTTTGTGAAATATTTGGCGTGCAGATTTTTTTTTCTGTTATTGATCTCTGCCCGATTAATGCAATTTTTTTTACATTCGCCCCTAAATGTTTTAATGTTCAACCCCTTACGTACATTAGGCAAGTTATGTACGCCATTGTAGGTCTTCATTATGTGGTGTTTGATTGTGAATGTATCAATCGACGCGGCAAATTCATAAAATACAACTTGAATTGGTCACTCACTCACTCACTCACTCACTCACGCACTCACGCACTCACGCACTCACGCACGCACTCACTCACGCACTCACTCTCTCACTCACTCACTCACTCACTCACTCACTCACTCACTCACTCACTCACTCAATCAATCAATCAATCATGGATGAAGGAAAGCAAAAAATATTGAATTACGTAACATAGAAAAATTAAACAAAATAAGAATTAAGAACGACATTGTTGATTTGCATTGTTAATATAAGTTAGTGATTAAAGAAGGAATTTGTTTTAAATGCATATATAAACAAGTATGTACAGTGTCAAAGCTTTTTTCAATCATTACTGCGTTTATTCCATATCTTGATACCTTCATTTTAAAGCAGTGACGTTCTGCTTCCATAAACGTGAATACTGTATGTATTTCATAAGATTGAACATGTCCATTATTTGTAAAGAAACTGATAAATTTGCTTGGCAGGGAATTGTTCTCAATTTTGAACATAAATTGAGCCAAATGTATTTTTTATAAATATCCTCCAATTTCAACTAGTTACGTTTGTTAAACAGTGGTTTAGTATGAGTTCTACCATCATCTACTCGACAGATATCTCGAATATGACATTTTTGAAACACCTCTACTTTGTGATGGAATATGGATTACCCAGAGCTATGGTACAATATTTGAGATGCGGCATATAATGACATTTTTAGTACGTTTGATGGCAAGGTATATTTCAGTCTTGATACATTTAAACGGCGGTGGCCGTCGCGCAGCGCGTGTTCGAATTTCATTTGAACAAACAATGTATTTTACACGCGTTGTATACGTTGCTATGAGTCCCATATCGAACAGGACGCGGCGAGACGATCACCGCCCTCTAATGTATTTTGTCTGTATTGATTGATAATTTGTTGCTTGTGAGCCAATCACAAACCTTTTTCAGCTCGTCATTTATCACATTTAGATTATTGTATTGCGGTGTTGATATTAATATTAGAGTGGCTACAGTGGTGTCATCTGCAGAAATGCCGAATGTCATCTTATGTTAATGAGGAAAAATAGTGGCCCCAGAACCGAGCCTTGTTTGATTTCCATCATGAGTGGATTCCCCATTATCAAATAGAACACACTTTAATGAATACCAGCAGAAAGATATTTCAGTATTTGCCACCATGGCAAAAGCAGACGTCTTTGCTTGCACCCCATTTACGGTGAATCTCGCTTTGAGAAGTACACCAGCGTTATGCTGCCTCACGGATATTGGCGCACACTATGGATACGCACTCACGCAGCACCAGTGCGGGCGCCCTTCTTGTATTGTGAACTCACCTTATTGAACCAATCAAAGCCTTCCTTATTGTTTCTGGCTGCATGTCATCGGGGCTAAGAGCCTGCAGGTAATTGGTGTCTTGATAACGTAAGAACGTGCCTGCACGCCCGGAAGGATCGATAACCAATGGCCATCTAGAATTTGAAAATAACGAAAGATATGATATTGTGAGTATAGGTACCACCTCGGAATGCTGGAAAGTTGCGAAGTGACCGTGACGTAGTCCCAAACAAGTCCCTAAGGCCTAAAAAAGTTTCTGGTCAGCGTGTGGGTCGATCTTTTACTTATTTAGCCATGCACAGCGCCCCTTGTTGATGAATTGTTGAAACCTACAAATTGTGTGTTTGTCAAATATTTTAGGGGAAAAAAAGAAATAAAAAAGAAAAGAGAAACAAATCGCCTCACTGACCATTTTTTTGGAAAACATTATTTTTTTGCAAGACATAATTTTTCGCCATGTTACCTGGTTACTTATACACTGTACGTTTCAATTTAATTTGAAGTACTAGGCAACATAGTTTCTCCATCAACAAATTATGCTAGTAATTCTCACCATCTGCCGATACTTCATCATTACGACTCCACTACTTAAAAATAACTCATGAAATACACTGAAACTGTAAAATTTGCAGTGGAAAATCACAGTCATTAACACCATGGCCATAGAAAGAAAATTTGAATTATTATACACGCAAAGAAACCAATATATCAATGGTATTCGGCATCATTTTCCTCCTCGTTTATTACCCGTTCTAAGATGAGTTAATTCTCGGTAACTCGAATACAGCGCGTGTGTTCGAGTTGATACCTGATAAAACCCAGTAGAACGTCAATCAGTTCTTCAATTGCGTTGTGCAAATGTATACTATGTCGACCTTTTCCCGTGGTGCAATGCATGAAACAAAGTTTAAATGTCCCAGAGACGCGTGCATTTATATTCGAGGAACTGAGAATTGACCATGTGTGATTTGCTTTCATTAATAAGCAAATACAAACCATGTCGTTGTATTTTGTCAGAGTATGTTTAGAGTATAGAGGAAAATTACTACGGCCGGCTAGAATTATTAACCCGGATGTAAACTATGACTCGGGACACGAAGAGCGCAATAAATATCGCCTACCATGTCAGCCGATATTTGCTTAAATATTAATTTACATACCTCATACATGATTAAAATACAAGTCACTTTCATAAAGTTGTATTGTGTGCACAGCTTAATTTAAATGCCCTTTCAATTTTGGGTAAGTTACGCGATTTACACTGATCGAAAACTGAAGTAATGCACCGTGACGGGTTATTTAAGTAATTATTTGTCTTCACTGCACTGCTGTTTGAATTCTGCTTTGATTGGGCGCTAAATACGGCCGCAGAGGGTAACATTAGTCGTCATATACATTCAAATGGGAGTCACGCAAATATTATTATAAATATAATTATCATTAATATAAATACCAAAAATCGTCTGATTCATATATCTTGCTAATATCGCATTTATGTATTTACCATTACAGAAAGCAAACAACTTGAGCACAATTTTGCCGATAGTGCAACTTTAACGCTAGCTTAATTCGGCGTAACATAAACAGGTGCAGTCTACGTACTCATACAAAAAACCTTAGTAGGCAATTATGTTATGTCATACACCATGTACACGTATGCATGGGTATGATGCATTGCATATTGACGTCACAATATGTAAATATTTCACAGTGACGTCACTATATACTTAGTACTACACAACATACCTGCCTGTGTTCTTGATAGTGCCGTCTCCGTCTTTCAGTATATTAACCAATTGTTTTAATTGAATAGTAACACCAACTTTAATGGGTTCTCTTTTCGGTGCTTCAAATGAAACATACGAATGACTGACAGTTGACATGTACAGACTTATCTAGCATGCAATTTATGACGATCGATTTATACGTCAAGTTGCCATGATTCTGGTGATCTAGTACTTTGGAATCAATATAATAAGTTATGTTTTAACGCGACTTAAGTTATGTGGCTGTCATTTAAAACAAGTTGTATGATCAGAAATCTTTGACGGAACGTAACTTCACAGCCATGTTATGCTGTTGTTCTCAAAATCCAGATACAAGTCATATGGTTACCAAACTACTTTTCGTACAAGACACAGGCCAAAAGTGACCTTCGCAGGAATATATATAAAAAAAATATCTCGTTATTGTAGTTGTAAAATTGGTCACTTGTGTTTGTATAGAATTAACAGTATCTGATTAATACTATTTTTTTTATGGAATAATGCTTCGACACAGGTTTCCATGGTTATATTTAACTTTTCCATGATTTTTTTTTAAATTAAAAAAAATAGAATATGATGTTATCAATAGTTATGTGGACAGCATGTCGAGCTGCAATCCCTCGTACGTTCTTGTCTCGACATTGCGTCCATGCGAATGCCGACCTCAAAGTGAACCTACGCGAACATTCCCATCCAACACACAGCGACACGCACACATTCATATCCACTACTGCCTTCTAGCTTACCTGTAACTTTAGCAGCAGTAGATCCGGATGGCTTCTTTGCAGGTGATTTTCCCGTCTTCTTAACCGCTGGTTTACTGCTGGCTTTGGCGGCAGGTGTTGTCTTTTTCGGCGGCATATTGCAACTGGTAAGATGGTGGTGGTATCAATGACGAAGGGAGGGAGGGGGTGATTTAAAAACTTACTACAGATCCAAGGTGTAATATCAGTCAATGACGTAATTTACTCAGTCGTGTGATGTTCAATGAGAGTGGTACGATAGATAAGGCTAGGCCTTCCCATACACACGAAGCTTCACAAAATCAGCTGTGTCACAGTACGATAAATACAATGAGCGTCTCACGTGACGTATCCGTTGCCATTGCGATTTGGCACAGCGCCCGCATTGTTGACCGCGGCGAAATACTAGGTCATGCACAAAGACTTTGAAAAAGATAGGTCTCTATGGTCATGCACTGTTTCTCTCTTCTGTAGATCTGATTCGAAAACTTACGTACTGCCATCTTCTTTATAATACACGGGACCCCTATCAACTGGAGAGAGCGTCATTTTTCGCTGGGCTTCGACATCAATAATTTAATATCTAACCAGAAGTACTGAGTTAAAAAGTCGCAACCCGTAGTTGTTACACGGCCCCTCTATCATCACGTTCGAATAATAATAATAATAATAATAATAATAATAATAATAATAATAATAATAATAATAATAATAATAATAATAATAATTATAATAATTATAATTATAATAATAATTTTTAATGCTAATGTTTATCTTCGAACCAATTAACACAACACAACACGTCATTTTTGTTCGCCGTGACGATTGGGTTGGATTATAAACTATAAACTTTGCTTCTATGTATAGGAAATGGACCATAACAATCGTTGAGACATAAAACAGAATCAGGTTTTAGAAAACAATAGGTACACAATTCTTTTATTCCAAGAAGTTTACAGATATAAAAATAATACCATTGAAAAAAATAGCATAAAAATGATTTGCAAATAAGAACTGTTAAACAATGCTCTGCAAATAAAGTGCCCACTTTGAGGAAACTATAACTGCATTTACAAGTAATTCCAACCTCAACTCGGCCTTCTTAAAGCGCACGCGCGGGGAATGAGACCTAAGCGACGATAACAACGCATGCTAAAAACGCAAAGGCTCATGGGTTGAAAACAACGACACGCTATGAACTTCTGCCACATGCGCATTTTGGGGTTCTTAGGTTCCATCACATAGATGACGAAACACAAAGACACATCAAGAGTGCCGGAACAATGACTTAGGAATTTCCACATAACGTAAAACCATACTTTATCGACTATTTTGATTGGATAATTAGCACAATGCATACAATTAATTTAATAATTTAAATGTATTCGGGTACTTAACGTTTTTCTTCTTCAGAATTTAAAACAGACAATCGCAAAGACCAATTTAGAAAAGTTTCAGAAAATTACTGTTTCGTGATCATCATTAACCTACCAATGAGCATACACAAATAAGTTTCATAAAAGTCTTTATTTGCAAACACTGTACGCATAAATTATAATATACGCTAGTCATTCGTTTCAGTAGGCGTGGCGGTTCCGGGAAATCCGATAACAGAAATATTGCACCACATGTCAGTATGAATTGTCCCGTCCAAAACTAAAAAGGTATAGATATTAGACAAATTCGGCCAGGGAATGTCTGAAAATTTGGAAAACATATACAGGTAGTTAATCGAATATTTTGAAAAGAATCCGGAAAAGAAAAGAAAATATGATTACAATTTTTTGTTTTGTTTATTGCGTCCAACCCCAAGAACTCTTATTACTAAGAAATGATAGCGTTTAGCACCCCGGTAAGGAAATCACCTGCAATGCGATTTTAATTTTCCAAAACTGTAACAGTATAGAACTTGTTCAGAAGTTCTTCTCCGGGCGAAGGCATCTGAGTAACCAGTGTAAAAACAAACCCATCTATAAGCATGTCATTGAACTGATATTGACCATATTCCTCACCGTCTGACTCCTTCACTATTGACAAATATCTGAAAAATATGCAAATTTTTTATACAAATTATTAAACAATTTCATGTTTCTCGTGAAAAGTTTTTTTTTTCGTGCATTATGATATCACGATTCTCGTTAAGATACGACGATCGTCGCGCTAAAAACTGTGCGTATACAGGTATGTATGGTATGCAAACGACGTGCGTGAAGCAACCAAGTTTTCGTGTCGTGTGCAAAGTGGGTTCCATGCGACGAATACCACGCGCATAAATACATTATTTCTGTACACGAAATTCGAATGCGCACTCTGGCACTATTCGAAAATAGTGATGAAACGATGAAGAAAATCAGGTTTTTTAAAGGAAAGCATTTTTACAAGGATAACTTAGACTTACTTTTCATCTTTTAATAGGTCTTTTGACACGAGGGAATCAAGAAGTCCTTTCTGAATCTCGTCCATCTGCGTCTTTATATTGCCGTACATATCGGATTCAATCATGTCGATCGTGAATTCTTTTCCGTATCTGAAAAACATCAAATACTCGATTTTAACGATGCCTTGTGCAATGGATGAGGATTTGTTTTGTAACTACATGCGTAGTATATCTCCTTAGACAACAAGTCAATCAGTCAGTCAATCAATCAATCAAACAAACACACAAGCAATGAAATTTATATAGTAGAACTCACTAGACAACAAGTCAATTTTTCTAAAGGTATCTATTGTAGGTTTCTGACGCAATTATAGTGCTGAAGTGTTACATAAACGTGGAGCTGCTCGGGAAAACACATGATGCAAGTCAAATTTCACAACGTAGCGTATTATTGTAATCTTGTATATTCCCTCCTCGGCGATATGGCACACAAGTATCTCGTTGATGTGGGCACGCTTCATGTGAACTCACCTTATTGAACCAATCAAAGCCTTCCTTAGTGTTTCTGGTTGCATGTCACCGGGGCTAAGAGCCTGCAGGTAATTGGTGTATTGGTAACGTAAGAACGTGCCTGCACGTCCGGAAGGATCGATAACCAATGGCCATCTAAAATTTGGAAATAACAATGGTAACTTATATACGATATAACCATATATGGTTTCTTCAGAGCAGTGGAGGTCGATCACGTGACCAAACATAACATCACCATATAAAGAAAATTGTAATGTTGTTCACTTTCATAACATACTCGCAAATCGAAACATTATATTCATACATTTGACATATCGAGTTTGATGAATCACACACGGATGAATTCAGATGGCGTGACGGTTGAGTTCCATCCATACTTGTGCAATAATTCATACACATACAAACAGCAAGGAATCCCAATTAGCGATGTAAATACGCCACATTTAATATTCAATAAAAAATTGAAAAACCGACAGTTTTAAATAAATAAATAAATGTTATTTCCTCCGAGAATCCTCAAAAATATGGACACGCTATCCATGTACATGTGAACCACGGTGAACGTATATACTGTAAAATGACTAATTTTCACTGGGTTTAAATTTCACTGATTTACCATTTCAGACATATTCAGTGGGTTTTAAATTCACGGTTTCGTCATTTAGATAATGTGTTCTATGCTAAATTTTACATGTTTTAATTTATCGCATTTTTCCAGTCAGCGAAATAAGCTAAATTAAAACCCAGTGAATAATTACCCCCTTTACAGTACATTGCGTGATTGCGCCCAGTACTGAGAATGCAACTTATCACATTGATCCTGCATGACGATACATGTATATATTTCTCCCAATGACATACTTGGATCGTGTCAATCAACAGAACGCATTGTTTTAGTTATTTCACAAACAGAATTCGGAATGAGTGACGTCATTATTATCACGTGACATACCTGCCTGTATTCTTGATGGTGCCGTCTTTGTCTTTCAGTATATCAGCCAATTGTTTTAGTTCAATAGTAACACCAACTTTAACGGGTTCTGCTGTTTTGGGTGCTGCAAGGAAATATGCAAATGTAACGACAACAATTGGAATGGAAGAGGTTAGAGTGGTGAGCGAACGTATCACATGCAAATAATTGCCCTATGTACTGTCTATGACTGAACCGATGTATTATATAATATTATAAATCCAAAAGTTCCCAATAAGTCAAAATGTGTTTGCTTGTCCGTTCTCTATTATTGATTTATGAAATTCAAGAGAGTAGTACAGCGCATTTTCGAATTTCATGTAAACAATGCATTTTACACGCGTTGTATACGTCGCTATGAGTTACATATCGAACAGGACGCGGCACGACAACCACCGCCCTTTAAAATATATAAACGACATATAAAATAACTGAATGGAAATCGATGATGGTAGTTAAAGACGCAATGCAGGCGAAAACAATTTTCTTTCAATTATTGTTGTTCAATTCTCCTTGATGATCAATTATTTATAGTATTCGTAAGATGGAAGATGAAAATAACTACTACGCATGTTCAAGTGATTGCTGTTGTGCGCACAACTTGAAGAACAATCAGCGCACAGTATTAAATAACTGTATTGAGCTGCTGTCTGTTTTATAACATTTTTTTTTATTCAAGTGGCGTGTAGCTCACGACCCTTCAATATACGCGATTAAAAATCACCCAAATCAATTTAATAACAAAGATGCATAAAAGTATATACACCAAATAGTGGGACAAGCCGTATGGCAATCTAGAATCTGGTCCGTATACATGACATTACCTCGAGCTACCAGGTAATGACGTATAGTCGACAAATAAAATATGCGTCAAACTGTTTTAAATACTTAATATATTTTTCAGTTTATTCATCTGCGCTCTGCTACATCGAAGCACTTGAGTGACAATGAACAACAGATTACATATCCCGACTGGACTAAGGTATGCAAATTACGACGATCGATTACGTCCAGTTGTCATGTCAACCATTGAAAATAAATAAATAAATCGTGATTGGTTAGTACTTTTTAATCAATAAAAAACGTCAAGTTTTAGCAAGACTTACGTACATACTGTATGTACTATGAACTAACGACGGCATATTGAGCTGTAGCCACTCGAACGATATTGTCACGACACTATGTGCCTGTGCGTATCGACGCTGTGGGGGTTACATTGCGTGAACTGTCTTCCCCGGCGCTGTAAAGCTCGCGCGCGCGCGCACACACACACACACGCCATAAAATACCTGTATCTTTGACAGCAGTGAGTGGTTTACTTCCAGGTGCCTTTCCCGTCTTCTTAACCGCTGGTTTACCGCTGGCTTTGGCGGCAGGTGTTGTCTTTTTCGGCGGCATTTTACTAACAGGTGTCGATGGTGGTGACAGCGTCAGTGTGGGAGGCGATGTGAAATCAGAACTAGTAGATGTATATCCAAGGGGTAATATCAGTCAATTACGCAATTAACACAGCCGTGCAGTGTTTGTAGAAAGTGGTACGATAGATAAGGCCTTCCCATACACACAGACCTTTATAAACAAAATCAGCTGTGTCACAGTACGACACATACAATGAGCGTCGTCACGTGACGTACCCCTTGCCATGGCGATTTGAGACAGCGCCCGCTTTGCTGACCGTGGCGAAATACTAGGTCACGAGCCGTTGTAGCGGTGCATTTAAATCTAAAAACTAAAGATGATTTTTTGATTTAGTTGAAGTCATCGCATCTGCAGTAAAATACATTTCAAATGGTAAACGTTGGTTTTATTATATCCCTGGCATTATTTGTAAGGAGAGTACTACGACAGGCCGGGCACGGTGGTGACATATGAGAAATATTTTCATCAACGATCATACACAAATTAGTTAGGGTACTCTAAGTGTGTCTTTGTAAATTTTAAACAGACAATTACAAAATAAAAAAAACTTCCACAAAGTATCAGGAAATGTCCTCCCTCAAATTAGACTTGATCGTTCTCATACTGACAGTGAGCATAGTATCGTCGCCATCTTGACAGGGGTAGTAGTTGGTTGCATCACCTCTACGTAGTATGGGATTTTCTAATCGATTCTACAGTGTATTACCGGAAATCCTACTTCTCCTACCTTGTGAAGATATATAGTAAGTGTCTGCATTATATCTGTGAGAATTGTCTTTTTTAACTTGTTTTAAGAAGAAAACTAACCTGCCGTACAGCTAAGCTTGGCTAAACTACCTTGGTTAGGGATTGCTCAGTTACTTCGGCCTAGGGGGGGGGGGCGTGGGTCAGTAGGGGTGTCACCCTGTTTTCGATATCATGAATAGGGGGCTCACCATGTTTTCCAGAGTTCACACACGCGCTCATGCATATATTTAAAAACAATTTTATTTCATAACAAAAGATAACAAAGTTAATCGTATTGTGTTCTTAATAATAACTATTACCTATATCATTGCCTATCTATTTGTTATATTATACAGTTAAGTTTTAAACACATCCTAAGTCCAAGTGCTGCTGATATCAGATTTTTTTATTTAAAGTCTGAAGTCACCATTGTATAAGATATTTACTGGATTTATCCAATTATAACAGGAGACGGAAAGACAACACAGCAATTGGTACAAAGAGCAGTGACAGTTTTTGTTCAGCAAATCAAAAAAGTAAATTTGTGAAAATGCTGATATATAAATTAAAATAAATAATTAAAAAATAAATAAATAATCAAATAGTTTTTCTGTTTTTTTAACTTTTAAATATGCATATTTTTTTCTGTAAAATACCAAAATCCAACACAAATTTAAGCAAAAATCAAAGTTTCCTTTGTTTTCATAAACACAGACTGTGCTTCGGGTGTAAAGCTTTCCTGGTCTATAAGATATGAAAGATATTTTAAATCCAACTTAGTTTTCAAAGAAGTTCAAACCGCCTAGATTCAAATCCTCTTTTTCTATCTTATAAGGGCGTTTATTAAGTGAGTACTCCACAGCTTTGCTTTTATTTACTATCTTTAGCAGCATAGATTTCCCTCCTTCCTGCAGCCTTTTCTGTAGTCGTTTTTTGGCTTTATGCTTCCCCTCCCCTCCTAAGG